AGTTCCAGAGGCCCACGGAGAGAGAGAGTTGTGAAATAGTAGATACATGTATTGAACGAAGGTTGTAAGGATTACGCCTGCAGCGTACCTCCCGTGTTTTGCGAGTGTTAGTAACAACAGGAATTAGAAAACACATAATAAAAGTGCACTGACAACAAAAAATAAGTGTAAAGTAAAACAATACAGTAAAGTACTCAAGTGCTTTGTCTGTGTCTTTGCTCGGTGGAGTCGCGCAGGTAGAGTCGATGGTCTTTACCCTCGTCGGTCTTCACACGAGGCGGTCTTCACACGAGGCTGCCGCGACCGCTGCCGCGGTGAACTAGTTGTTTATATAACCCCAAAGCACTAGCTGATTGAATTCAGCTGGACACGCCTCGAGAGTCAAAACAAGGGCCGAAACTGAGGCGGACGACGCGAAACCGCGTCTGCGTTCGCTACACAAGCTCTTATAGTAACCAAGGAAACAGTGGCTAAACAACTTCTAGTATTATACACAACTGAAAGCAAGTTTAAATGTCCTACAACTTTACACAAACAGCTGGAAACAAGTCCTCAAACCATACACAACAACTGAAACAAATCTTAAATGTACTTACAGGCTGCTGGTCTAGATGCTGCTAAAGTGCTTCTCCTGCCGACTAATGCTAGCGTGCTCACTATATAGTGGTTACCTGGCGTTTGGACACGCCTCCCGAGTCAAAACAAGGGCCGAAACTGAGGCGGACGACGCGAAACCGCGTCTGCGTTCGCTACACAAGCTCTTATAGTAACCAAGGAAACAGTGGCTAAACAACTTCTAGTATTATACACAACTGAAAGCAAGTTTAAATGTCCTACAACTTTACACAAACAGCTGGAAACAAGTCCTCAAACCATACACAACAACTGAAACAAATCTTAAATGTACTTACAGGCTGCTGGTCTAGATGCTGCTAAAGTGCTTCTCCTAATTGTTTATTAGAATATAAATTCAAAATATAATTGTTTAATAGAATTTTTGTTTAACTTGTAACACAGATTTCTTCATGTAAACAACATGCCCACAATAAACCATCAAGATCCTGGCTTGACAGCCGTATTTATTAAAGAAATTAAAACACAGGCATGTTAATGACATTTAAATTTCAAAACAATCAATGCCAATAAAGAAAACATTGATTTCCATGTTGGATTCTAAGTGAACTGCAAAAAAATGCCAAAATACAGGAATTGCAGATATGGAAAATGAAAAATTATAATAATAAACTATAGAATATAAACTGTTGCACTCATTGTAAAGTTGTATTGCTTTGAGTTGAGAACATTAGTTAAAGAGTAGAAACAATTTTGCTTAATCCTCCTTTACATTCATCCAGTTGCTAAGACTAGGAGTATCCCGCAAGTGCACAGAGACTCCCAAATGCCCGCAAATGAATGATAATTTCTCGCAAACCGGTCATTAAATACATTGCACACCCCTCTCCCCTGCATCTCTCCTAGCTCTTCAGGTAGCCTATGGTAGCCGCTACTCAGATACGTCGCTCACTCCACCCCTGACACCCCTCAAGGGCCTGACACAGACACACACAGACACACACACAACGCGCTGCAGACGTTTTGGCCCCAACGGCCTTCCATACTGGAGCGACTCCCCTCAGATTCAACACGCATGATCACGTTCATCAAATTTGCTTAAACTTAGCGTCCTAAAGTATTACTGTATTTCACAAGGATTCTGACATCTGAAGCATACATTTCGTTGTGTTTAATGAGGAAACACGCTAAACTTGGAGGGTTCATGCTGAAAGGCAGAGTAATGCCCTGTCTCTGACAGCTCGCGACTTCACCAGAGACTTTCTGAGTACATTCACATAAGACACCAATACTCCGATTTTAATATGATTAAGATTATACTCTTATTAAAATTCTACCGTGTAGCCTAAGCAGTGATTTTATTACCTTAAAGCAACACCGAGTCACGAAATGCGGAGGATTTTCTTTCTGTTCGCTATGCGGTATGAACTTACAACAGAAGTCGAAAGTTAAAAATTAAACACCCGAAATTGCATGAAACTTTGGATGGCCTGGTGATGCGACTAATTGTTTTAGTCGAAACTTAGTAGAAACTTGCCTTCAAAAAGTGCTTCCTTGGTCTTATCCACATTTCTTGCATGTTAAACACACGTCCACCACAACAGGAAGTAAAAAAAAAAACTGCGTTAATTGTGTAAAAATTTTTTAACGCGTTAATTATTTAAAATTAACTGCATGCGTTAACGCACTAATTTTGACAGCGCTAATATATATTATATATATATATATATATATATATATATATATATATATATATATATATATATACACACACACACACACACACACACACACACAAACACACACACACAAACACACACACACACACAAAACTAACTTTCTAGAGCTCTCTTGCCCAGGGCCCAGGAGCTCCCTTGTCCAAACTCAGTTTGATAATCTAATCCAATAATCCAATGAGTGTGTTTAGTATTTAGACTCAAACAAAAATAGGTCCAACTTTATATTGAGCAGCCTTAAGCAATAAATGCATATTTAAATTGCGTAAATATGTGTTTTTCCATTGTACTAATGATTGATTAAATACATGCATACCCTTTCATTTGGCTTGACAATTAATTTAAGCAGCATTTCCTGAAGATATTTTTGCAGACTACAGTAAATAAATCACACACACTAAAATACACAACTATTAGCATTGCCAAAACTCACACAGCAACCATTTGCAAATAAAGCTGAAGACCTTTGAGTTTTGCATTTCAATGTTTACCAAAAGCCTACATTGAAAGATCCAGTAAATTACATCCAGCTTTAACGGTGAAACAAGAAAAGATAAAAAAAAATTAATGTGAGATAAGAAGGATCATAAGGCCATCCAGTAAACAACAACAATTTAAGCAGTGCAAATTCACAGTTAAATTCATTTTCTGTCATTTTTTTTTTTATCAGTGTCTGTTCTATCAGATTTCTCAAACCTAATTGTCATTTTGCAATGGCAGTTATAGATCTATTTTGCAATGGCTACTAGAGGCTTGAAAGAATTTGCTAATCTTAATTATTGCTAATATCTAATTTAGTATAATATATAAAGTATTTGATTGATGTGAATCAAGAAGAACATTAAACAATAAAAAAAAAAACTGTATAACAGAATTAAGCTGCAGAGTTCAAAGGTGAACACAGCAATTATTTTGTCAACTGCTTATGGTTTCTTGCTCATATGTTACTCAAATATGACTCCATTAAATTTATCTTTATAGCACTTTTACAATGTAGATTGTGTCAAAGCAGCTTAACATAGAAGATTGTAGTAAATTGAAACTGCGTCAGTCCAGTTTTTAGAGTTGAAGTTCAGTTTAGTTAAGTTCAGTGTGGTTTAATCTTCACTGCTGAAAGGTGAAACACTGAAGAGCAAATCCATTTATGCTCAGCTCTACAAGTCCTGAACCATGCAAGCCAGTGGCGACATTGGCGAGGAACAAACTTCACCAATTGACGAAAGTGAAGGAAAAAAACCTTGAGTGAAACCAGGCTCAGTTGGGCCCGACCATTTCTCCTGTGGACAAGCTTCTTGTGCAGAGCTGCAGTCTAGGCATTGGAAGCTGGAGAACGCTACACGTCCATCGTGATGAAGCTGCAGGTGCAAGAGTCACCGGCTGGTGTACAGGTTGGCCCTTCAGGATCAATGCCAAGACTCGTCTGTCAATGGGGTCTTACAGTAGTCACTCTCTTGCTCTCCACTCCTCCATGACCACCACAGCAGCTGCTCAGGATAGAGCCTGGTCCAGGATTATGGAAACCTTGGGAATGATAAAAACAGACTTACATAAGCGCAGATGTCGTTCAAACTATAATGTCTTTTGGGAATTGTTCCCTGCTCAGGTTACCCTAAATCAGGGAGCTCCAAACTTGTTCCTGGAGGTCCGGTGTCCTGCAGATTTTAGCTCCAACCCTAATCAAACACACCTGAACAAGCTTATGAAGGTCTTGCTAGATATACTTAAACACCCAGCCAGGTGTGCTGAGGCAAGTTGGAGCTAAACCCCGCAGGGCACCGGGCCTCCAGGAACGAGATTGGTGACTCCTGCCCTAAATAATGCAGACTAACAATCCTTTAGAGAATTTGAATTTCCAAAAAACAGTTGTGTTTTATGTGAATGCTAATGCTAAGAGATGTGTCTTTAATCTAGATTTAAACTGACAGTGTGTATCTGCTTGCTGAACTTTGCTAGAAAGGCTGTTTCCGAGTTTAGGTGCCAAATATGAGAAAGATCTACCGCCTACAGTGGATTTTGATATTCTGGGAATAATCATTTGTCCAGAATTAATTGAGCGTTGTGGACATGATGGGCTGTACAACACCAGGAGATAAGCAGTTCAGGGCATTGTAGGTAGTCAATAAAAAAATGTATACAATATTTATAAGGGAGCCAATGAAATGATTAAAGAACTGGATTAATATGATCATAATTCTTTGTTCTAGAAAGCACTCTAGCAGCTGCATTTTGAACTAGCTGAAATTTGTTAATTAGGCCAACAGGGCAACCACCTAGTAACGCATTACAATAATCTAGCTGAGAGGTCATGTAAGCATGAATAAGCTTTTCTGCTTCAGTCATTTATAACTTATGTCGAAGTTTGGCAACATTTTAAGATAAAAATGCAGTTTTACATATGCTTAAAATCTAATCTTCAAATGACTGCAATCAAAAATCACCCCCACATTTGTGACTGAACTAAGAATCCATCAAGGGTTAGACAGTGTTCTAGGTTTTTGTGTCTGATTCAAGAGATCTCAGTTTTCTATGATCTTTCTACAGTAATGTGATATTAATTGCTAAAACAATTTTTTTTTAACATTGACCACAGAGAGCTGTGTAAAAATGAACTTCTTTTGACTTTGGTAAATTATTAACTTGGTGATCTCCAGAACAGCAAGAGGTTTAGAAACAGAACAACAGAAAAAAGCTACTTGTGAATTGAGCTCAAAATGAGAGTTCCTGTAAAACTTCTGGGCTTCGTTGTCTGGTTATTGTGCTTGAATTTTGGCCAGTGTAGAGGCAAGTATAACTTTTGGTTCATTTAATTGTATTCAAAGAACTTAATTGATTTGAATATAAATGTTCTATTGTATGCACTTTCCAAAACATTTTGTGTGCACATCCATAAGTTAGTTAAATCTCTGTGTAAAGTGTAGTGTTTATTTGTGTGCCTCAGATTGTCTTCGAAGCGACATTATATATGAAAATATAGTACCAGTTTCAGATGCTTCATATGCTGATGGAAAAACTGCGAAAGTGTTCTGCCAGATAGGTTTTACTGGCATATACATTTTAAAGTGTGAAAACGGAAAATGGAGTGAAAGGGTTGGACGAACATGTAAAAGTAAGAAAGAAAATCAATGTGATCAAATAATTTTTGGGGGATTATTAAACAAATGGCATTATGCTGAGTAAAACGTGTTTGATTTTAATAGAGAAAAAGTGCAGTCATCCAGGGGATGCAGCAAACGCTGATTTTAAACTTTTAGATGGGACAGAGTTTGTTTTTGGAACAACGGTGGTGTATACTTGCAAGAAAGGGTAAACATGTTTTTATTTCTATTGTATGACACACCATCATTTACGTTTTAACTTTCATTGAACTTCTAAAGAGTTTAAAACATGTTGACAGGTATGAAATGACAAGCAGAAGCAATAAGCGTACCTGCACATCTAAAGGATGGGACAATTCCGTCCCTGAGTGTGAGGGTACGTTTTCTTCACTGTTTGCTTTTGATCTTTACTTTTTGCTTTTGAAAATTTACAGATTTGTTTTGTTGAGCGATTGATTTCTACTTTATTTTCTTGTCTAGCTGTGAAATGTCCAGCCATTCTCACAAACAGAGATGTAATTGCATCGGGCAACACAAAGGAAGGGAATTATGGTGAAGTTATTCATTTTGAGTGTGCATCTTCTGAGAAAAAGATAGATGGAAGCAGAGACATTCGCTGCACAGAGACGGGCGACTGGAGTGCCCCGGTTCCAAACTGCATAGGTTCATTCACTTTAGATTTTTTTTTTCTTCTGTGATCACAAGTTTTTGTGCTTTAACACCTTAACAACTTATTTTAAATAAATAAAATAAATAAAAATTATGTTGTTTGTGTATTTGAACCCAGATATAACCTGCACAGCACCTGCATACCGAATGGAGAAGTTAACTCATTTGGTTTAGTTATTAAAAAACTTTTTATTTGTTTGCTTTTGGTTTGACCTTTTTAGTTTTTTTTTTTTTTTTTTTTTTTTTTAGTTTTACATTTACAGCAGAACTTCATTAATGCAGTCAGCATACCAATATTTAAATAAGTTGACAAAATGTAATGATATTATTTTATTTTTGTAACATTTCTGGCTGTTTAAGATAGCAATTGAACAAACGCAGTAGTTCTTAAAACATTCAAAATGTGTTTGAAATTCTTATTTTGAGGCTAATTGTATTTATTAAACAGTTTTTTGTTTGTTTGTTATCACTGCTGTATAACTACGTAATCCTTTTACAGCTGTAACTTGTGAGCTAACATCAAACGTTGACGTGAAAAGGGTCGTCCCAGAAGGAAAAACTATTTTCAGAGCTGGAGAAAGAGTGACAATCACCTGCACTGAAAAAACCTGGCTTAAATCAAAAGAAACCAGCAGAAGATTTACATGTCAAGATGATGGGCAGTGGGACTATAATCCTGTTTGTGAAGGTAAGATTATAGAAAAAAAAACACTTCTAGATTTGGTTATTTACTGCATGTTATTTAAAGATCTCAAATCTTATTTCAGTGATTACATGTGAACCTCCATCACGTGACCAACATGTGTCCACCTACTTTTGGAGGACTTGGAAACTGGACGAATCAAAAAATTACGAGTGTGATTCTGGTTATTATAAAAAGGCAGAAGTGGCCACATGCACAAGAGATGGATTGACACCAAAACCTCTGTGTGCTGGTATGTCCTGCTGTTAAACCTCACAATATGTGCAAATGATACAAATAGTTAAATCACCTGTATATCCCAGGGTCAATGGACAGGCATATGGCAACGCACTGGTATGTTGTGGTGTTTTAAGAGACTTTTTTTGTCACTTGTTCCATTGAATGCAGTGATTTTGCAGTGTTTTTTGTATATTCAATTAAATTGTTATATTTATATTATTGCAGAGATTAATTCAAATTAGTATGATGGATATTTGTTTCACAGGAATGTGTGCAAGACCTGATATTCCAAATGCAAAAATTGAAGGAGTTCCAAGACAAAATTACAGTACTGCATCAACACTACGATATAAATGTAATCCGGGATTTGAACCTGAAGAAACTGTTGAAATAACTTGTAATCCCCAGGCTCAATGGACAGGTTTACAGCAATGCACTGGTTTGTAAGATTACTGCTGTTAATTCCACTGAAAGTCAATATAACAGTTTCATTTTTTAAACAGTCTTGAAACTGTTTCCTTGCAGCAAAGCGAGAAGATTGCCATGATCTATCTGTAAAAAATGGGTTTATATATAGTCAATCCTTGAACAAAAAAGAAATCCTTTACTCCTGCAACAAGGGTTACAAACCATTCACTGGAGAATGGTGGAGTTCAGTGACGTGTGTTAAAGGCTCTTGGTCTGATGTTCCTCTGTGCATCCGTGAGTTTAATTATTCTCAGTCTCAGGTGTGAAACAGTACTCAATGTACTCAAACGTGTTTTCTGTTACCTGCCTTTACAGCGGAAGAAGAATGTGGTGCTTTGCCCAGTGTTCAGAATGGAAAACTAAAACTTAAAGATCAAGAAACCGCTGAAGTTGATTGTGATCCAGGATTCATATCAAGTACACCTTCTATAAAATGCATTAGTGGTACATGGGAAACACCAACCTGTAACGGTGAGCTTCTTAAACTGTTATTACATGCTTGAGGAATGAAACCAGTATACAGTGAGCAGAACAACAGAATTTCTGTACAAGCTTCTGTACAAGTCTTTTTGAAGTTTGTAAAATTTTATACATTTATTTACATACAAAACATATGAATACATTTCTATCTCCAATTGTCTCTCTTAAAATGTTTTCTTGAAAGATTGTTACGCATATTTAGCAAATAGTTATTACATTATTAACATTTCGCATGGCATACATTTTACATTTGTACAATCTGTTCTTTTTAATGTTTTATTAGTGTTTTAAATTTAGTACTTATTAATTTTAAGTAATATTAACCTAAGTTGTCAATTGTGAGTTCATATTTTACATTATATATATTTTTATTTTCAGAGGGTGTAAAATGTGGCATTCCTCCATATGTGGGTAATTCAGGCATTACATCTAAACCTAAAGCATTTTATATACATGGATCAAGTGTTACATACACATGCCGAAACCCGTTTGTAATGATTGGGAAAAGTACAGTTTTCTGCAGCAATGGAAAATGGGAAGAAACACCAACATGTGAAGGTGAGATTCTGGTTAATGGTTCATTCAGAACTTTTTCTAGACAAAGCAAACATATCAGAAAAACCCAGATAACCAAAGTCACAGCTTATCTTTAAATGTTTATTATTAAATACGATTCTGAATCCCAGAATTACCATCAGAATTATAACAGTCAAAGTTCATTTGCTCGTACATAACTCTCTTCATTTATTTCAATGTAAATTCTAAGTATGTCTCACTAGTGAACAGGCTGACAGTCTAAAAAGTAATTGGTTGTTTCTGAACAAAAGTCAACATGCTGTACTCAACTCTGCATATTGAAGCCTTCATTTCCTCTCCTTATTCACATCCATTAAAAAAGTTAACTTTAGGGCTGCCACAGACTCTTTTTATATAGATGTATTTATTGAATAATTTATTGATTATTTTACTAATCTTAAAAAAAAATTGGTTACACTTTGCAATAAGGTTCATTAGTTAATGTTAATTAATGCATTTACTAACATGAACAAACAATGAACAATACATCTACTACTTTATTTGTTTAAAATACAGTAGTTCATTGTTAGTTCATGTTAACTCATGGTGCATTCAATAATGTTAACAAGCATGAACTTGGATGTTAATAATGCATTAGTAAATGTTCAATTATGATTAATAAATGCTGTACATGTGTTGTTCATGATTAGTTCATGTTAGTAAATGCATTAACTAATGAACCTTATTGTAAAGTGTTCCAAAAAAAATTATTATTATTTATTATTAATTTTATAATAAAAATCGAAAATTATAGAAATTGCATCCAATAATCTTTTCTTTGATGCATTTTGATTATATCCGCAACATAAAAGTTATTAAAAAAATTGCATAAAATTGTAGAATAATGTGGCAATTTTTCTAATGTTATAGCTTTATTCCAAAATGGATTCAAATCTAAATTCTACAAACAATACTCCACAACGACTATGTGAAAGATGTTTCTTTGAAATCTTTGCATATGTATTAAAAATACATTATGCAAAAAATAAAAATTATATATTCACAGCCTTTGAACTTATTACTTTGTTGAATTACCTTAAGGCACAAGTTACAGTCTCAAGTCTTTTGTATATGTGCTTTAGTATGATGCTACAACCCCAGCACTACTTTCAAACAACTATTGAGTGAATTGAGAACAAAATTAGGGTGATTTCACACCTGCCTTATTTAGTTCGGTGAATGCAGCAATCGTACTCGAGTGCGCACCAAAAGCGAACCAAAAAAGCTTACCGAGACCTGTTTGACGAGGTGGTCTCGATACACTTTTAAAAAAAAGCGACATTTTGTGTCTGTTGCTTTGTTTACTGTTAATTGTCATTTTCCCGCACGAGAATTCTGACCAATCAACAAGCAGTTTAGGAACTATGTTCAACAACATCTGGCCAATGAGAGATGTGGATTTTGTCAGATGACTGCATTTTGGTTCTTTTCAACTGGTTCGGAACTAAAGCAATCAGTGTGGTGGGAAAACGACCCAAAGACGGCAGAAAATGCAACAATGCATCATTTATTGGCCTTGCATTTGCCGGACCAAATTAAACGAACTACAGATGTAAAAGCACACTTAGTTATTCCAATTTAGCAGACTTGTATCCCAGTATATAGAATGCCACAAATCAATTGAGTTATACTAAAGTACATAATAATTAATTGCATCCAGCATAACATATGCATGTCGAAACCTGTTCTTCTTCATGGGAACTCCAATGTGTGTCTTGAGCAAAACATACAGTATGGGAGATTGATTGGCGTTCAGCATGTCAGTGCAATGCTCGCGGACAGCTCATGCTCTCACTGTGTGGACATGGCTGTTGCGCAGCTGAGATCGTGGCTTTCTAGCCACCCCTGTTGCTCCCTGTGAAAGCTTTTAGCACGTGGGCAGATCTGAGGATCACAGTGGGGGTTTATCCTCTGGGTTGCCTCTGGGCCCGCGGACCCCCCACTCATCCACGTCACGCCCTATCCAAGCTGCGAGTGGTTGTGTCGGTTCATCACCCGGGATGCCCGAGCCTCCGCTTGATTACACTAGAGATCAGACGCCCATCGCGCCTTCGGAGGATGAGCTGTCATGCTCAGATGACAGATCAGGTACACAATGCAATGCATCGTCATGGTTTTCGAGTCATACATGATGGCTGCGCTTCCAGGGGCCTTGCTTCGGTGGTGTGGTTGGAGATGGCTTGTCCCCCAGTCTCTCCGCCGGTCTGACCAGATGAGATGTGCGACTGATATAAGATTAATCTTCTCAGTCTCCATCCCCTTCTTCCCAGGGGGGCACAGCAAGCATGCAGGCATGTAGGACATTATTCTCCTGTGTGCTTCTGCCTTTTCCTTTGCACTTTTTCCGCTATTCCTCAGGTGGTGGGACCGCCACCTGGAGGGGTAAGTTGACACCCTCCAAGGTGGATGGGTTATCTGTGTCTCACGGCAACAGCCCTCACCGCTGCAGGCCATGCTGATTCAGCCGTCCACCAAGTAACCACCTGGCTGTGCTGCACTAGGGTAGTTCTTTCTTAGGGAGGATGCGTGGAGGATGCTCTGTGCCTCTGCATGAGCATCTTTATTTTTTGATTATTTATTGACTGGCTCATTTTTTTAGTCTTGAACTAGTCAATTATGCACAGGGACCTGGTGCTCTGGGACCTCTGATTGTTGATGTTTCGGGTCAGCCGAGAAAGAGCAAGCTCTCCCCTGGGCAGAGAGCACATTCTATTAAGAGCGCACCAGGCTAGTGCTGCCCTGTCCGATCAATTCAGCAGTTACACTTGGACTTAGTGGTCCTGGGGCATTTGTAGCCGCTATCATGCCACTCAAATTGTTCATGAGACCACTTCAGCGATGGCTTCGCAAGTGGGTCCCCAGATGAGCATAGCACACGGCGTCGCACTGGGTGATCGCGTTAGCGATTCCATATGCTTACTTCAGCCATGGAGTGTTCCCCATGTATTTCCTACCTGCTAGCCAGTTTATTATATGTAACACTCCACCTTCATAGGGCTAGTCCATATGTTCTTTCTGCCATCTAGCCTTCCCTTATGGGTAGCAGGTGGCCTCGGCAGCATCCTCACCCTTCAGGGTCTACCACGGTTTCCCAAAGTACTGGTATAATTCTAAAATACCTAGATTATATTAGCTAGGTAAAAGCACATTTATGACCCCGATCTAAATTCTTCTAAATTATTCCCATGTAATGGTAAATAAAGGAGCTAGGGGACATTGAAAGGTTGCATCTTTGGTAATGCTTGTGCGCTTACGCTACACTTGGCAAACTTCATCAGGGGCAAGACTTGCGTAGCTATTGTGGCGTTTTCCATACACAGTCCCATGTGTCTTTCTTAAGTCGGACTTCCTATGAAGACGAATGTCTCAGTTACAAACATAACCCACATGATCTGAATAGGGAACGGAGACGTGTGCCTCTGATGCCACAGCAGTCTCCAGCTGATAGCTGAGTGATCGGCTCTACAGCAATCTAAATGGTTGCTTCACAGGAGCCAGTTGATATAGTCTGTTAATGACTAATCGCTGACACCTGTGGAGATGAGCTCTGCCAACTCATTTGACATTTCATTGGCTCGTTCTCTTACTATACAGAAGGATTGATCGTCTAGCAATCTCCCATATATCTTTCTCAAGATACACATCTCCATTCCCTCTTCGGGTAACATTGGTTACATTCGTAACCGAGATGTTCTCAATTAAAGTGAAAAGTTCCGTTTTTTCTACTGCTCTGGACTTTAAGAAATACCAACATGTAAAGGTTATTTTTAATAAACCCTTTAAAAAGTATAAATGCCATTTATGAAAATCAAAAGACAAATATTTTTAAGCGAGGGAAAATGTTGTGATTATGACAATAACAACTAAATCATTTTTTGATGACCAGTGAAAAAGGAGTATTTAATTTTACTACATCTGTGCTAATATGCTAAATATCTTTAAATGTGGCCTATTTTAGCTGTAATAAACTTTTAATATTGTGTCCACTCATTCTGTGTTCACTGTTTTAATCAAATCAGATCAAAATTAAATTGATTCAATGCCACAATGATGCAAGTTTCTCTCCCACAAACAGGTCATCTCATCTGCTTAAAGCCAAAAAGGCACTTTTCTCTTATGTTTACTTTTGAAACACTATTGGTTGTGTTTAAGGAAAGATTTAGGTCAGTGTTTCACTGGTCTACATGATCTGTATAACAAGCCCACCGTCTCTGGACATATAGACGCACTTGTATCTGAAAACATATCCTAAGTAATATATTTTAGACATGCAAAAATGTAGACAGTGCCTTCTAGTGAATTTGTCATCTGAAACATGCAGCAAAACATACCAAAAGCAACGTATTTTACAATTCACAAAAATATAAACTGAAGAACATTTCCTATAAGCCTGGGCTGGTTAATTATTGAAAATGCTAAACTAGATACAGGTATTGCTATTGAAAATATCAAAGATGACACTAAAATATTTCTAAATATGATAAATGAATCGAAATTCATCTAGCTAAATAATAAAATTAATGTCATTCAGTTTCTCCCCACACATTTTTTTTCCTAGGACAAGTTGTGCATATTATTATTAAAGATAATACTATATATATATATATATATATATATATATATATATATATATATATATATATATATATATATATAATACATTTATAATTTTGTATTTACTTCATCCATTAGCAAGGTGTCTTAGGCCACATGAGAATTATATGGTACTGGCAACTGATAAAGACACATACCAGGATAAAGAAATTCTGAACTACCAATGCATGAAGCCATATGATAAAATTCCAGAAGGAGAGTGGATCTGTGAAAATGGAAAATGGACTGGAGACTTTGTCTGCACAAGTAAGTCACTTAAAATGTTTTGGATATAAACTCTATGAATGTACTCACACAGCCAGAGGTCAAAAGAGTACCGGCAATTTTTACACAAGATTTGATAATTTGTGCAGCAAAATGTTTTAATTAAGTCATAATTCAAAAATCAGCACAAAATAGTGAAGGGGCAACACTCTAAAACACCAAAAGTGTAAAATAAACTTGTGGTCTTCAGGGTCAAACATGATCGCCATAGGAAATTAATGGGAAATAATCAAAATAAGAACATTTAGACAATATTTTGTTTGCACAATCAACAAATCTACTATGGTGCTGAAAAAGGTGCACAGGAGTGAAGGAATGATACTCTTAAGTGTGAAATACACACACATATACAGGGCATGGAATCTTGTGGTGATTCGAAAGGTGGTTAAAGATCATGACTGTAACACATTAACACATATCTCAGATGCTTGTTTATAGTATAGTATGTTGCTGCTGTAGCTTTTAAATTCAGAGAAAACTCAAACCCCTTCGGGCCCTGTCATATATGATATGAAACGACAACATAATTTGTTGCTATTTTCAGATCAGCACAACCCTAATTTTCATATTTTGCACCACGTTATTGAAATAGCAAATCTATTTGCACCACTTAGTGGACTGTGGGTGTGCAGGTCTATAAAGGAGGCGTGTCAAGGCGCATTGTTGGCACGTTGCAATTCTGAGAAACTAAAATAGACTACGCCATCGACCAAGTAAAAGCTGGTCTAAAGTCCAGCACAGAGAGCAATACAAACAGCAATACACAGTATCTTTATATAAGAAAAAATAAAGGGTTAAAGTGTCATAAAAATTATTATTTACTACTGCTTTCTTTATGTCGAGGGGCTTTTTTTCAGTTTATTCATGACAATTTGCATTTTTATTATATTGTTATTATTATTATTATTATTATTATTATTAGCAGTATTATTTATTATTTGAATATTTATATAAGTTTTAATAAAAACTAGTTTAGATTTGTCCACCTGTCGGGTTTTGGGGTTTTGGAGTTTTGGGTTTCATTTATTTGTTTGCTCGAAATTAAAACTGAATTTAGAAATATTTATAGAAATATAAATTTCTGTTTCCTCATCCGAGGAAATAAAGGAGTAAAGTGAAGCATAAAAATAAAGTAAAGAGAAAGTAAGGACGCCAAATGGAGGAGGCTCGTTCTTTATCCTCGTGCTGCAGATGGTCTGTTCAACTGTTTTCTCACTAGTGAAGTGTTCAGCTTTTCCATTTACAAAGTCCACCATGTAAATAGCCAATGCGCCATGGCGTAATGCAGCTGACTCTTAAAGGAAATGGGAGATGAGACTCTGATTGGTTTAATGCATGTTATACTCAAAACACACACATAACTCATTAAGAGAATAAACAAAGTCCTGTTAGACTATGCATCACAGCGCAAACTGTATTTTTCTGTCCTTAAAACAGCAAAAGTGGACACTTAGAACATGCCCTTAATGATTTTGCACCCTGCGCTTTAGACTGTGCCTATACTGTAAAGCCCAAAAAGTTAAGGTAACTCAAACCATTTGAGAAGACCAATTGCAACATCTATTTGAGTTCAAAAACTAATCCTAATGAGAACTGTGAACTTAATTTAAATAAACTTACTCCATTTAAGTTGAAGTAATGATGTATTTAATTAACTCATTAACCTTCAACACTGAGTTCAAAACTTTTTTAAATTAGTAGAATTAATTTTCACTAAATTTTGAGTTAACTACACTCACTTCATTTGATAAAGTTGACTGAAAATTTTACAGTGTAGATACTTAAAATAGAGCCCTTCGTTTGTAGTCTGATTCTGAAACATCTCAGTTTGAAGGGCTAAATAGCCTGTTACATTCCCCCTACACTTCCAATCTAAAGAGAATTGGGAACCCCTACCCCAGGGGCGGACTGGGACTAAAAATGAGCCCTGGCACTGTAGCCACAACAGCCCACATTACCACACCGACCCAGCCCCATCCACGGACACGCACATTCACTACTTATATTGTTGTATAGATGGTGAAATAATGTAAGCAGTACCATATTTTACGCAGCGGATGTCCTCCAAGCTGCAACCCATCATTGGGAAACCCCTATACACACACATTCACATACATGCACCACAGACAATTAGGCCTACCCAATTCACCTATAGCAAATGTGTATGGACTGTAAATGAATGTGTAAGGGAAACCAGGAGGAAACCCACGCGAACATGCAAACTCCACACAGAAACACCAACTGACCCATCCGATTGTTGAACCATTGACCTTCTTGCTGTCGGCATTGTCCTTATGAAACTATTTTAGTTAATTTTTTGCATTTGGCAGCGATTTTAGAGCAATTTTTGGCTTTCTCTGGGCTTTTCGGCACCGCCTTTCCTTTTTTTACGGTCCATCTCTGACAATTAGCTTGTGTTGCACTTACTGTTTGTTTGACATTCTCGCCAAATTTTGATTATGTCCACGTAACCTCTGATTGGGTCGGCCCATCTCGAAACCAGTCGGCTATTGCCGATTGGGCCAATGCTTAACATTTATTATCATTATTATTATTATTATCATCATCATCATCATCATAATATTCACATCTTGCAAGAGATAAAAGCTGCCTGCATGTAAAAACAATACATATAAAAAACGTTATTAAAAAAAATAGCATACCGGCCCACATTTAAAAAATGGTCCGGCCCTTCTGGCATTTGCCAGAATTGGCAGATGGCCAGTCCGCCCCTTCCCTACCCCTTCACTTGAATGCACAAAACAATGGGGATAAGAAGAGCTAAGGGGCTAAGGGGTAAAATTAAGATTGGGCCTAACAATGATAAGCACGGTCAACAGCAGGAATATTGCTCAATGTCACTTGACATGGTTCCAAGTGCATTTTCATTCTGTTCATTTATTACATAACAAATGAGGGTTTATGCAAATAATCACCAAGTGCCTTAAATTTGACAAGTTTCATCCGAGTATTTAGATGTGCGCATTAAGCTAAAAGATGACTTTACATCTACATGTTCTGCTCCATCTCAGAGATTGATTGCATGCATAGAATAGCATGAGTTCCCTTTCATGATTTAAAAACAATGAATGAAGCACATCTCATGCTGCAAAAGTCACATACTGTAGCATGATTTCACTGACTTCCATGGTAAACTGAGCTTTGAGGAAGAATGAATGTGGACTTCTGTTGTATGACGCATATTCAATGTTTTATTTCAATTAATTTTTCATAATCATTGGAGACCAAAATCGAAGTCGGAATTGAATTTGGATTACCTGCCCCTGAACAGGTAAATCCAGCTAGTCATAACGCCAATATTCTGTGCTCATGTTTCTTTCTTTCTATTCTTTTTCATGTTGCCATTTTATCTGACAGGCATCGTAGTAGAGTAACACTGCGATTAACATGAAAAATCAAGTGGCTAAAGGAACTACGCAAAATGATCAAGACAGATTTTTTTCTGTTATCAAAGCTTGCACACTGTAAATTTACTTTAGATGTAACTTGTGTAGTAGCAAAATAGCCAGTGAACTATCAGAAAACTTGAAGATGACAGGTGAGCTGAGCTAATTTAAATGCAAAGCCTTGAGACCCAGAGAAACAAACTAATCTTTATAGAATTTAATAGATGCATTATAGTTTTATATTGTTGGAGATGACACAGTTTGCATACATTTATGAATTATGTGTTAGAGAATCAATATGTAACATTTGAATTGTATTAAACTTCCCATGACTATACTTGAAGGCTATAGCATCAATCTTTTTTGTTTTATTTTTATTTTGACTTACTCTCACATCCTGAATATTTACATCATATGCATATTGCAGACCTTCATGTCTGCTTCTGTCTGAAAATAGGCAACGTAATTTTTCCAGAAATGATTTACTTATTTCCCTGAGGAGTGCACAAGTTGATCGGAGGAGCACCACGGCTAATACAGAGAGCTTGTTGGACAGTAAGAAGTGGGGCAGGTTTTACGAAGGGTCACACAGTTCAGATATGAGGGCTTTTTAGTGGTCTGTTTATGCTCAGATCTTTATTTTTGCAACTGAAATAAATGCTGAAACAAACTGAAATGTTAGCTGGGTATGACAAATGGGTGAATTATGTGTAAAACACAATATTCAAATGTTTTAATATCATAAAGAATACATGTACACTAAATATTCACAAAAATAAAGTGGGCTCTAATTAACACAAAATGGATTAAAATGTTTCTGTTGTAAATTGTTTAGGTGACATCTGCCCACCTCCTCCTTATATTGAAAATGGAAGTCATTTTAGTAGGAATCCAGATGATAAAATGCCTACTGAGGTATACTATGAATGCCAGGCTTACTATGTGCTGAGTGAGAGAAAGCAATATTACAGGTGTGAAAACGGGAGATGGGAAACCCCTCCGAAATGTCTGAGTGAGTCGTTCTTTTCCAGATGATTCTCTTGAAATACTCAAATCATGAAGTGAACCTAATGTTTGATCAGTTTTATTTTGTCTCTGTCACAGAGCCTTGTCAAGTTACACAAGATATTCTTGAAGCACACAACATGAGACCCGATCAACAAACAGGCTATATAAAGCATGGTGACTATGTTGACTATTATTGCCAGCATAGATTGATTGTTAGGACAGGACACTACAAGAAAGCAACATGTTCTGATGGGAAGTTGGAAATTGAATCATGTGAGTAGATGTGTTTGTGTATTATCAGATGTACAGGAATTAGCTGAGGTCATCAGATGTGCCTATGGCTAATCTACAGTCATATTTACCAACCTGATAATATTGAGGCTCATTTAATAAGCCTGTTTTCTTGAGGTTTGATTTGATGACCCTGATGCATTAATTGCATTTTTGTTGCGCTGTTCTCATCACTCTCAACTGTTTCAACTCTTCTCTGATTGTTGGCTATCTGATCTTCTCTGCTCTCTCACTCTGTGCTTGATAATTGTTCATTGTCTCAAGCTTCATGTGCAAAGGCAAAAGCATACTCGTCATTGCCTTCTTGTGCATTGGCTCACATCAGTTCTGCACGCAGAGGTCAGCATATTTTCTGTTGCTGTTTTTTCCTGGAGGGTTATTTTCTGTTTGGTTCAGTCATGCAGCACCCAGAAGAAAGCTGACTATCCGAGTGCTTTATTTCCCTTTATTAATAAATACTATTTCTGTGATTTATCCCTTGTGTTGGGTCACTTTGAGAACACTGGCAAAGATATTCCTTCAAATCATCCTTCTCAATCCAACATAGATATCATTAAAGGATGATTACACTAAAGAATTAAAAATTCATCCAGGATGTTCATGTCTTGATTTAGTTGAGAACAAATAAAATAAAAAAAAAATTGAAAACATTACAAGATTTTTTAGAATTACTATATAGTGAATTTCAGTGGGGGCCAATGGGCTTAAGCAGGAAGGGTCTAAGCAGTCGCTTTGACTCGTTATATATTAGTCATTACATTGGTCCCACTTTATATTAAGTGTCCTTGACTACTATGTACTGTACTTACATCAAAAAATAATTACAATGTACTTACTGTGTTTATAATGTATTTGAGAACACTTGTGGTGCTTTTGAGTTGGGATAGAGGTTGGGTTATGGACAGGTTTTGTGGCATGGGTAGGTTTAAGGGTGGGTTGAGGTGTAAGGCATGGTCAACAGTGTATTTACAAATGTAATTGCAAAAGTTAATTACAGATGTAATTACATGCATGTATTTTAACAAGCATAAGTAAACAGTAAATACATGTATTTACACAATAAGTACATTGTAACAAATTATTAAATCCTGTGTAAGTACATATTAGTTAAGGCCACTTAATATAAAGTGGGACCATTACATGTAATCAAAAGTTTTGTTAATTGAACTTTCACTTCACAATCTAGCCATTCTTATATATATATATATATATATATATATATATATATATATATATATATATATATATATATATATATATATATATATATATAGTGGTGGGCCGTTATTAACGTTACAGTGAGACTTTTATCAGGTGATAAAAAAATATCACCATTAATCTATTCTCAAAGTTGGGTTGGGAGCTGGGTCTAATCTACGCAAGCTATGATGACTTTCACCTTGATATTTTAGCGCGAGTGTATAACTGACCAGTGAGCCATCTGACAAAAAAGTGCCCTTCTAAATCAAATCAGCAGGATGCCCTTCTGGATTTTTCACTTACTTTGAAGACACTACTGACTATGCTTACATGGACATCTGTAATCTAGTTATTTGCCTTAATAGACAATAATATATTTAAGATGTTTACGTGAAGTGCTTTCATGTAAGAGTTCCTATAATTTTGAGGAACTTGCAGTTCACTTTAAATAAAGTTCCACTTTAACTCATGAACTCATAAAGAGTAAGGACTGGTGAGAGTGTTATGGAATTTAATAACGTAGGCTAAAAGGAAAGAAAAAAAACTTCCTCATTTGTGTGTGCGGTCCTTTACTGACAGCCGCGTGTGTGGATCTTTGTCGGTAAATGTGACGAAAAGTCCTACATGACGGTAATAGTGTTTACCTCAATAATGCCACTAATATATGCATACTCCACATGTCTTAGTTCTATTTCTTTTTAGTTCAGTTATGACTTGAGTTGGATTAAGGTAATCAAAAATCGCTGTTTTGAGCTTATGTAGGCCTACAGTTCGAAATTAATGTTTAACTAAATAAACAGTTAGTAAACACAAGTACATCTTATTGAACATCATTTATTTTCATCACCAATTGCTTAGTAGAACAGTTTCTCAAAAAGTTTGTGATGCATTTTGGAAACAGGAGATGAACCCCTGGTCTAATGCGCCACCTGGCTTGAGAAACCCGTTCTCAAAGACTTTTAGTCATTATTTGGGTAGCACACATATTCTGAATGCCTTCGGCAGAATTCAAATGAGCCATTTTAATCTACATTAATTTTGATTAATTCCGAGATAACAGTGAGATTAATCTAGATTTTACAAAAATATCTATACCCACCTATAATATAATATAATATATATATATATATATATATATATATATATATATATATATATATATATATATATATATATATATATATGGTTGAATTCAGAATTATTAGCCCCCTGAATTATTAGCTCCCCTGTTCATTTTTCCCCAATTTCTGTTTAACGGAGAAAAGAGGTTTTTCAACACATTTCTAAACATAATAGTTTTAATAACTCATTTCTAATAACTGATTTATTTTATCTTTTTCATGATGACAGTAAATATTATTTTACTAATTATTTTTCAAGACACTTCTAAACAGCTTAAAGTGACAATGTGTGTAACGGCGTGAATTAAGTGAATTAAGGTGTAACGACGAGGGATGACACACACAACTGGGGTAAGATCAAAGGTCAAGCAAAGGTCAACACAGGCGCAAACAGGTATATGGAGGCAGTCAAGAATTGTAGTCAGTAAACAGGCAAGAGGTCAGAAGGCAGGCGGAAAACAAGGGTACAAGGATAATCTAGGCTAAGGTCAAAACACAGGAAAACAAGACAAGGAAATTGCATTGTAATAAACAAGACTCTGCAAACTGAAAGCGTGAATGTGTGGCTTAAGTAGTGAATGCAATCAGTCTCTGACAGTCCTCAGGTGGTGCGAATGTAATCAGTCTAGATGTTTAAGCATGTGTGTCTGGGCAAAGTGCATGTATGAATATGTAGTCCAGGAAAGGCGGAAGTGTAGTCCATGGTTTGTTGTGAGTGAGAACCAGCCATCAATGGAGTATGATCGCTGGTTATCGTGGCGGCAGGTTAGGGAAATTAGGCAAGTTATTGTATAACAATGGTTTGTTCTGTAGACTATCAAAAAAATAATTAATAATTTTGTCCTTAAAATAATGTTTAAAGAGCCCATATTGTACATGAAATAGGGTCATATTTTGGTTGTAAGGGTCTCCAACAACAGTCTAATATGCATGCAAGGTCAAAAAACACTTTCATGGTCTCATAATCTGCATTTATTTTTACCTAATTATCCCAGCGACTCCCGTATGAATCGTCCAGTGATTCATTTGTTCCCAATCGCCTCCTCAGCGCGAAGCTAATCTGCGCTGATTGGACCAATGACAGTCTGTTGCGATTGGTCGACTGCCTTCAGTCAGAGAGTAAAATGCACAACAGCTAATCAGCAATATAAAAGTAATCACAGTTCATACACGCTCAATAGTGTAGGCGTGGATTTTAGCTGCCAATGGGTCAATGTAAATACAGTCGATGGACTTTTTCAGACGATTAACTATTTTATTGAGCAAAAACTCCAAAAACTGTCGTGGAGATCTCCAAGCTTGTCTCACTCTGCTCTTTTCACAGACACAAACACACACACACACACACATACACACACACACACACATTGCCATCGTCCGCGCACACACACAAACACAAAAACACACACACAGACCTCCGGGCGACAACGCGCGCGCGCACACACACAAACACACACACATACCTCCGGACGACAGCGCACGCACACACACACTACCCTCGTCCACGGAGCTCCGTAAACAAAGCAGCACGCGTCGCGTGACTTTGCACGCGATAAGATAATATAGCCAGTTAACCTGATACAGTACACGCGGTTACAAGTAACAAATCACAACTAAATACATTTGCAAGCTAGAGTCAATGAGGCAACAACTTTAACCGCACGTACTTACACTTGAGAAATGAAGGAAGAAACCCATCCTGACGTCCATCAGTAAGTTACTCTTTACTGATCCTTCCTTTAACAAACGCCGATGATGTATTCTTTGTAGCATGTAGTTTGCAGAAGTTTCCAGTAGTTTCCAACTGCTTGGTTATAATGCTGAGGTTTCATCTTTCGGTAGAGACTCGATATAATATCCATCTGCAGTGTGACTTCAATCGACTGGCATGTTTGTGTGCGTGTTTTTGTGGGTGTGTGTGTGTGTCTGCGTTGCTGCGTAAGAGGGCGGGGCCTCAGGTTTAAAATCTCCCGGGTGATGTGAATAACATGGTTTCATTCGTACGTCATGGTGAAACACCAAATGACTCGGTATCAAGGCGACTCGTTTGAAGCACTATGAGTCGACTCTTTTATAGATGAATCAACCGTTTTAAACACTGTACTCTTACAGATTTAAGCCTTAGCTGGATACTTCACTTCACTTAGAGCTGTGTTACACACTACATGGAGGGGAATTTTCAAAAACCCATAATATGGGCTCTTTAAGACTTTTAAGAAAAAACATTATCAGAAATACTGTGAAAATTCCCTTGCTCTATTAAACATCATTTGGAAAATATTCAAAAAAGAAAAAAACAATTTTGGCCAATAATTTTGACTTCAATTGTATTTTGAGTGTACTTTACAAAGAAGTAGACACATGCTTCATTAGTAGGTTAATGATTACGCTATATAGTAAATGATCATTTATTTAATCAATGAGGCAATTAATAATAATTGACATCCCTGGTTGTCATTGCCACTTGTAATCAATTTAATGTGCGTTTGTTGAATAAAACATTACTGAACCCAAAATGACTGTTAAATTACACTTGTGTAAAATAAGTTTTTAGACCAAAACATGAAATTGGTTGCCAGGTTAGTTTAAAACGAACCAAGCAAAATTTGTAAAAAAGAATGTTTACTTAATAATTGTTTGTTAATAAGTTGTTAAAAGTTGAATTAATATTATTGAAATGTGTGGTTTTGCATTTCTTCGGGTCAGAAATAGACATACTGAGAACAATCCTGAGGGAAACTCTGAGGTATGAAACTGTCATGTTCACCAGCGAACAACCACCAGATGTCGCTGGTAAACACACACACTTAGAACTACACTTTTCCTGGACTACATTTTCATACATGCACTTCTCCCTGACACCCATGCTCACTCATCTAGCTTGATTACATTTGCACACCTGAGGACTTTCGGAGACTGATTAACACACACTATTTAAGCCACACATTCACCCCTTCAGTTTGCCGAGTCTTGTTCACTGTAAAGTAGCATTACAACGCGTTTTCCTTGTCTTGTTTTCCTGTGTTTTGAACCTAGCCTTGTTTATTTAGTTATCCTTGTCTGCCGCCTGCCTTTCGACCTCTTGATTGTTAAACTGACTACGATTCTGGATTGTCCTCACATACCTTTTTGCTCCCGTTTTGACCACTGCTT